AGGGGATGGAATGAGCTCTGCTGACAGACAGGGCTTGGAAGAAGATAGCAGTTGCATGTCCCTGCTTGTCTACGTAGAATGGGATGGAATGAGCTCTGTCAGGGGACTGGGGCTGGGGAAGGAGATAGCAGATAGCTACATGTCCCTGCCTGTTCACATAACCACAGCTGTCTGGTGCTTCCTGGTGTCATTGAGAACAAACCTCAGAGAAAAACTTAGTACTGCCCAGAGCCTGATACTCCAGGCCAGGAGTCCTTACAACTTTCTTGCAAATATTTGTTTCCTTGAAACTGTGAGATCATCAGGATAGAGAAGGTTTTAAACGGAGGAGGAAGTAGAAGACCGGGCCAAGGGAATCCTGAGTGAAGCCTAAGGAGCAGGACACGGATCCCTGCTTCAGGTACTGTTTGTCCAAATGGCTCAGCACTGTCTGGTTTTACCGGGATGTGCGTGTGGCAAAATGGTCTTCACTTAGTATACTGTAGAGTTTTTCCTTGTCTAAATAAAGATCTGCATAATCAATGAACTCCATCATGTGGATTTACCACAACTAATTTAGCCAGCCCACTAGTAACAGATACAAAGACTGTGTCTAAGTTTTATTAATGTAAGTCATATTGTAATAAACATGTACCCATTTTTTAAAATGTACATCTTTGCTGAATTTGTTTAATTTATCCTTCCTTAGGAGGAGTACATTGAGGTGGCTTTGCTGGGTCAGAGACTAGAATAAGGTGGACTTTTCATACACATTGCTTAACTCCCCTTTAGAAACCAATCATCAGATTATACTCCACCGACAGCATTTGGCATTTAGATTTCCACTCACCCTTAACCCTGGTAGTGTAGTGGTTAAGAGCTACAGCTGCTAACCAAAAGTCAGCAGTTCAAATCCACCAGGTGCTCCTTGGAAACTCTGTGGGGCAGTTCTACTCTGTCCTATAGAGTTGCTGTAAGTCGGAATTGACTCGGCAGCAATGGGTTTAGTTTTGGTTTTGTTAACAGTGGTCACTGCCATTCCTTTTGTTTATGTGCTGGCAAATCTGGTAAGCAAAAATTAATATGCCATTGTTTTTATTTTCATTTATTACGACTGGTCAGATTAAATACATTTCTATTTGCATTCCTTCTTTTGTGCATTGCTATTTAGCATCCATTGACAATTTTTCTATTGAAGTGTTTGTGTTTTTTGGTCATTGATGTTTAAGCACTTTATATTTAAAAAAAAAAATCATATTCCTGTTTCATAACTTCCATATACCACTCTCCAGTGTTTCCTGCCTTTTCGCTTTGTAACTGTACGTTTGCCATGCCAAAGTTTCAAATTTTTATATAGGGAAGGCCATCACATTTTTCCCTGGCTTTGGTATTATATAAAAACCAAAAACCTATGTCCACTCTAGGTTTATAAAACAAATTCTCCAATTTTTTAGAGTCTTTTTGTCATTTAAATTATTAAAAGATTTGAAATTTATGCTGAGGTAATAGCTGAATGTATTAATTAGGGTTCTTAGTTGTAGCGCCTCAAAATAAGTCTCCCTTACAAGGACGGGCTTTATTGAAAGCATATGGAGTAAGTCACAGACTGAATGGCCTGAGGGGGAAGCTTACTCAATGCTACTCAGCCAGCAGTAGGTCCCCCAATGGTGCCATCAGTGGGCCTGGTGCAGACGGCACCCCAACTCAGCCACAGCTACTGCTGCATGTCCCTGCCCACGTGGGACACCAGGCTCCAATGCTTCAGACAGAACATCTGCACTATATTTTCTGGAGGCTCCTGCTGCCCCCCTGGCCAGAATGGACCCTACGGGCTTGCCTCCTTCCTCCCTCCTTCAAATCCCTCGAGCTTCTGATTCAAAATGAGAGAAGACATGTGTGGCGTTGGGTCACGGGCCAGACCCACGCAATATGGGAGGCTGACGAGGTGAGGATCTGGCCCTGAGATGAGTGATTCTCTGACACCACGTGGGTGTGCAGAGGCTGAGCTGCCCAGGCAATGACAGATGTCCACAATGATGAGGGCTGTCCACATGATGAGTCAGTTTCTCTATTACTGTGTGTTAGACAATCAATTCTTTGCCACTGAACTGAAATGTCATCATTTTCATATACTGAAATTCTGTAACTCCTCAGTCTGCTTCCAAACCTTCTATTCCTACAGAATAAAACACTTAACATTGTAGCTTTAAATGCATTTTAATATCTGGTAGTGCAAGACCCCTAACTCTATTTTTCTTCTTTTTTAAGAATATGCTGTGCTATTCTTACGCATTTAAACAGAGATCCTACTAATTAAGAATTTTTATTCTACGAATATTCATAGACACAAACCACGCTAAGAACCAGAGGAAAACTACCCCCGGCTGCCTCCAGTGGCGTTGGCATCACTTGTAAAGTGTAGTCAATGACAAGTGGCTTCATGAACTGACCCTGACATGCTCAGAAGTGTAACTAAAAAACCCATTGTCGTCCAGTAGGTTCCAACTCATAGCAACCCTATAGGACAGAGTAGAACTGCCCCATACGGTTTCCAAGGAGTGGCTAGTAGATTCAAACTGCTGACCTTTTGGTTAGCAGCCGAACTCTTAACCACTGTGCCACCAGGGGTCCAAAGTGTAACTAGAGATTATATACAATTCCATATAAATTTCTAAATAGTTTTGAAATGGTTTCCCAAAATTGAATCTTGTCATAGAGGAGCATAGCATGTTACCTCCACTTATTCAAGGCTTTTTTAAATTTTTTTAAATTCCTTTGATAGAATTTATAGAGCTCTATGTATAATTCCCTCATTTCCTTGGAACTACCCCATAGGGTTTCCAAAGAGTGCCTGGTGAATTTGAATTGCCACCCTTTTGGTTAGCAGCTAAACTCTTAACCACTGTGCCACCAGGGCTCCATGTGTACATATACAGACATATATATACATACATGTATGTGTGTGTGTGTACTTTTTGCTAATCTTTCGGAAATGACAAAACAAAACCACTGAGTTTTATAAAATTATTTTGCTAGATACCTTATTTAATGTTTTAACTTGTCCTTTTTTATTTGATCCTCATGGTGATCATCTAAAAATAATACATTTTAAATTATTCTTCAATATTTATAATTCTGATTTCTTTTTCTTAACCTATTATTTAAAACTTTCAGAGCAATGTTAATTACAGAGAGTGGTAGTGGTCCTCCTTGTCTTATTTAGGAATTTAATTGAGATTCCTAGTGTCTCACCATTAAGCAGAATGTTTGCTCTTAGTTTCTAATCAATTTTCTATATCATGTTAAGGAAATCCCAAAATTGCTATGAGTTATTATTGGGACAGTATATTTAAAATTATCAAGTGCTTTTTTTATCATTTACTAGATTAAGTGATATTGTCATCTGTTAATCATAAATGCCATTTGTTTATTAAGAATTTGAGACATTTGTCTTGTGGCATCTCTTTCTTTCTATATTCAGTTAATTGTTTCCTCATGGTGCCCTTGAACTTGTTCTTCTATTCCCTGCATTTCCTATAAACTATTAGTTCTTTCTGGAGGCTTGCCTGGGCTCAGGTTCAGTTACTTTGGTAAAACTGTACAGGTGGGGCTGTTTTCTTCCTATTGCATCACATCAGGAGGCCCCTCATGTCAGGTTGTCCCACTCTTAGTGATGTTAAGGTTCATCAGAGGACTAAGGTATTGTCAATCAGCAGTTCTTTTCATTATAAAGGTACCCACTAACCTTTCATCTAGTGGTTTTAGCATCCATTGACGATTGTTGTCTTGATCCGTTGTTTTAATAACCCATCCACTGCCATTGAGTCGATTAGATTCCAACTCATAGTGACCCTATAGGACAGACTGGAACTGCTCCACACGGTTTCCAAGGCTGTAATCTGTACAGAAGCAGACTGCTACATCTTTCTCCCAAGGAGCAGCTGATGGGTTTGAACTGCCGACCTTTCTGTTAGCAGCTGAGCGCTTAACCACTATGCTACCAGAGCTCCTTATTGTTTTAATAGGGGCTGCAAAACTGTGATTTAAAAAAATCTATTATTATTTTTCCACTTTGTGGATGAATTCTTTTATAAACAGGAACTTACCTCCACTAACCATTTGGTCACCCTGAAATGCAATTTGTACAGGAAAGGCAGGTTAAATGCTTGATTCTTTCCCTTTACTTACAGTTTGCTAGAACAATGAGCTGGTGCCCCGGCAACCTTAGAGAAAAGAGGCAGCTATGTGATGCTGCATCCAGTGATGTCATGAGTTTTGCTCTGCTTTCTATTTCTGTCAACAAGTGGTATTGTTAGAGAATATTTTTACTTTTAAACTACTGAAAAGGCTTTTGATAAGGGTCACTGAGAAAATGTTGGAGGGAGGAATCTTGTTCATCTCACTGAGTGGTGGATGTATTTACTCGGCCTCACTACTTTTCCAAATATGGGGGCCAAGATACTGGGATGCCTGTGTCCCTCCAGAAACAGATACAAAGCTAATTATTAGGTTCTTTATATTACAAGATTTCAGGAGCCTCCAAGAAGAAGCTAAAGAAACCAGAAAGGATGGACCCCTACAGAGAAACATCAAAAGCAGTGAACATTCTACCCCTCTTGATAATAGCAATAGCTTCTTTATGGAATGTGGGTGATAGTGAGGATGATGATGGGGGTGATGATGATGTATGTATGTTTATGTGTAAACACTGAATTAAGAAGTGATTATTAAAAAATAGAATAATTTGGACAAAGCACCTAGCCTACATAATTTTGGATTCTGTGAATCAGAGAGTAGGCAACACAAACCTTCAAGTCCAGATCCCATAGATTTAAGTGGCATCTGTTACAATAGGCTATGGCGTCCAGTGTGTTGTGAGTAATCTATGTAGACACAGACTGTTTCAGCGAATGCTTCAGGTTAGTATGAGGAAGAGCTGGTCCAAATCAGATCAGTTTTGTCTTCGGGTTTGTCCTGCAAAATCAACGTGTATATGATTCTTAATCTTATGTCTTAATTAGTAGGGAGATGGAAAGATGAGGCAAAAGGAAGAGTACACGTTGGACACAGGATGGAATCTGGATTGTGGTTAGTATACTGAATACATCATGTGAAACCTAACAGATGGAATTAATTGCTTCATCCTCATTCAGCAAATATCAATCAGCACCCACTACACGCCAGGCACCATCCCAGACTCTGGGGACAGATCAGCAACTGAGCAAAACTTCATCCCTGCCTGAAGGATTTATTAAGAAGTTCTGGTGGTGCAGTGGTTAAGTGCTTGGCTGCTAACTGAAATGTCTGTGGTACAAACCCACCAGCCACTCTATGTGAGAAAGATCTGGCAGTCTGTTTCTGTAAATATTACAGCTTTAAAACCCTATTGGGCTTTTCTACTCTGTCCTATTTGGTCGCTATGAGTACGAATTGACTCGATGGCACTGGGTTTGGATGTTTTTTTGTGAGAGTTTTATTAGGCTATAATAAGAAATGCACCAAATAAATGGGCAATTACAATCAGATGTGATCAGCATTTCAGTGAGGATATATTTGGGGTTCTTCGGGTGTGACGTCTAAGCCAGTCTTGGGGGACTTAGGGCGCGTGCCTGAGCTGAGCCCTGCTGGGCAGGAGAAGGATGGAGAAGTGCAGGCAAAGGTGTGCAAAGAGCCTGCCCTATCAGAGTTGTTCCTCAATTGTAAGATGGCAGGTGTGACTAGAGTGTAGGGTGGGTGTGAGCGGAAGAGTTATAAGACAAGAGACTGGAAAAAACGGCAGAGAGCAGGTCTTGACGGGCTTTGTAGTCAGTGAGAGGCTTGGACCTTTGCTGAGGACAGTGAGGCAGCCAGTGCACATGGAAGGGGTGGCATAAGTCAGGGAGGTTTCTAGAAAGCTACCTCCAGCACACAGTAAACACTCAGCAGACATAAAAGCCCTGGTGGTGCAGTGGTTAAGTGCTCAGCTGCTAACTGAAAGGTTGGCAGTTCAAACCCACCAGCTTCCCTGTGGGAGAAAGCTGTGGCAGTCTGCTTCCACAGATTTATAGCCTTGGAAACCCTATAGAGCAGTTCTACTCTGTCCTATAGGGTTGCTATGAGTTGGAATGGACTCAGCGACAGTAGATTAGGTTTTTGTGTTTTTTTTTTGGTAGGCATTTGTGTAAGGATAGGCAGCATTTAAGTTTCGTGATCCATGCTTGCAGACATAATGTAGTCCAGCAGGAGAGAGCCTATCTGCACCTATGATGGCATCACCAAGCGTGCAGTTCAGGTAGCCCAGGCAAGTGCCACCTCGTTAGTCAAATGCCATCCTTTCTTCTCAGTATTTCTATGAATTGCATGAACTCTGACCTCCACCACCATCCTTCACGGCAGTTTAACCTCTACAACCTAATATATCAAAGGGATAGCAAACCTTCACAACCTAATATATAAATAAAACTAACTTTGCTGTCCTCTGGCACGACATAGAAATGATTGTGTTTCTAAGACATCAATACCAAACCAAACCCCTTGCCATCGAGTCGATTCTGACTCATGGCGACCCCATGTGTTACAGAGTAGAACTGTTCCATCAGGTTTTCTTGGCTGTAATCTTTACAGAAGGTGACTGCCAAGACTTTCTTCCACAGTGCCACTAGGTGAGTTCAAAACGCCAACCTTTAGGTTAGTAGTCCAGTGCAAACTGTTTGAACTACGCAGAAGCTGCTAAACATGTGGCGATAGTTCTTAGCAAACACAAATTTATGTACTTTTTCTGTCAGAGAATGGAAGGCCAAAAAAAAAAAAGAAAAGAAAAAGGGTATGTAGAAGGTAGGACTGAAACTTGTTTAGATATGGTCAGAGATAAGAAAACTTCCTGAACTTAAGAGGCTTCTGAACAAGAGTGCTTTGATTGGCAAAAAAAAAAAAAAAAAAGGAAGAAAAGGCAAAGAAACCAGCTTCAAGTGTTTTGTGTGTTGTTTTCATTTAAAGTTAGAACAGAGACGGAGAACCATCCTTTCAAGTCGTAGAAACTTGGGAAAACAAGAGGGACAGAGCTATATCTGAGTGTGAAGTGCATCTGAGTGGCTGAAAAGGAAAAGTTGCCTGCAGAAGCTGGTGTGCTTCTTGACCGGTGTTGATCCTTCAAAAAACATTTCTCCACAAAATATTAATGCTGTCCTTCTGCTCCTACCTGAAGAAGCTGTGCTGGACAAGCTAAGAGCCCCCTGCGGGTCCTGCGTGCTAACGAGGAAACAAGACAGCAGGGACACTGCCCATGACCAAAGAGAAGGCGAAGAGGCCAGTGCAAACAGGCAGCCTGTAACCAAGAACAGGCTGGGAAAGAGAGAGCGAGCAGCCTCTCACCTCTCAAGGTCAGTAACCTACTTAGGAAAAAGATTGGAGGTGACCAAGTTCACACATTTTAAATTAGTAGTATGTGAAAGAGTGGGGCTGCCAATAAAACCCTATGACCAGTGATACAGCAGAGAAGAGAGCTACAGGGGAAAGCCGTCATTAGTTGAATGGTTGATGCTCCAATAAACCTGTAAGTTTAATGATGGGCACAGGTTAGTAAAAGTGTGTAGCTTTAGTACTTTTTGCTCAGTTTGTTCCTAGAATTGCATTTATAATAGATCTGACACTTTACTTCTTGAGAATAATAAAATTAAGCTAATTTGAGCAGTGTCTGTGTTACCAGGCTTCACCTTCTTGTGGTAAGAAAGACTGAGCCAGGGTGAGCTTAAATATAAATACTCACTAGCTACTGACTTATTATCAATAAATGTCAGCAAACTTTTTATGCAAAGGGCCAGATATTTTACACTGTATAGGCCATATGTTATTGGTCAAAGTATTCTACTTCATAGGGTGAAAACAGCTATAGATGATATGTAAACAAATGAGTGTGGCTAGCAACAAACTCTGTTTACACAATCAGGCATTGGGCTGGATTTGGCCCAGGGACCCTAGTTTGCCAACCACTAATACTAGAGGGTCCTGGCTGAGCCCACACAGAAATCCCTGCCCTGAACCGAGGTGGGTAGTTTAGCTCCTGGGGCAGATCCGTGACTTGCCAACATTCTAGGGTATCCTTGGACTGGGGGAAACCCCTTGTCCCTCACCAGAAAGACTCTCTTCAGGAGATTTCTTTGAGGCAGGAGCAGAAATCTAGGCAAATAAGGTCCTGTGGAAATGTTATTGGAACCATGAGCCTCTTAACAGCTAGGGTGTCCTGGCAGAAGATGTCAAGCTCTTGCATCTGACAAGAAAGGGAGGAACAAAGGACCTCACACCGTTGTCTTCCCAGCCCCAGATACTTGTTCTCAGAGTGCAGCACAGGCTTTCTGTTTTGCAGTCCTCTGCTTCCCAGCATGTTCCACACATGTCAGTAGTTGTCCAGTCAAGTGTGGGATGGCATCAGAACAGAGATGGTCTCCCCATTACACACATGAGGTGTTTTGCGTGTGAGCTGGTGGGGGTGGGTTTGGAGTGGTGGAGTGGAGACTAGAATCTTCCCAATGTTGAGAAACGATAGAGACAGCATGGAAAACAGACAGATAGCAATGCAACTGAGGAGAGCGAAGCTCCTGTCTGTGTGGTCAGCCTAAGAGAAGGGAGACAACGTATCTGAAGAGCATCACCTAGCCCAGGTCACCAGAAGCCTGCAGTCAGAGGCAGGCTTGTGAGATAAACTCATACTCACGTGGTTAGCTGAAACACCTTTGGTAGTCGAGAAATTCAGTAATATTTTGATTAATGACTTCCTCTAGGATGAAGCTCTTTCATATAGATAGCTCTGTTAGAAAAAACCTCAAGCCAAAATCCCTTCATAAATCATGCAAAAAATGGCTGCCTACACAACAAAAATAGCTCAAGTGCAGGATTTATTTGTCTTTGGTCAGATGTTGATAAATAGGGCTTATCCTTTGGAAAGTTGTAAGAGCTGGACTTTACCTTCATCCACATGTCTCTTCTTGCCTTTGACTTGAATCTGTGACCTCTAGTCTCTCAATTTTAGACCCTTAGAAAGTAGGTGCTTATGTTATCTTCATGTCTTAATTAAGTTGCTTTGGGTACCTTGGGCACGAAGGGGTTACTAAACAGTATTATCAGTTAGTACCCCTTTTCCAATAATCCTTCCACACACCTGATCCCTTACTCCCAGGGCAAGAAGGTTTGATGTAAGAGCTGCTGAGTGGAGGATGCTATATTACATCTAATTTCTTTGGAGTCTGTACCCAGCACACTGTGGCAGATATGTCCTCTGTCTCTTTGTCCCTCACACCTCTCTACCTGCACCTCTGCCGCACTTCACCCAGCCTCGACCCCCTTTCTTTTCCTGAAGACACACACAGGCACATATATTCATGCATTATGTATGTTTCGGCCTTCGTTTAGTAAGATAATGATTTTTTTTCATATCATAAACCACTTATCTGACAACCGGACTATGATCTTTTTGGGTTATTTATTTCCGGCCATTAGCATAGTATTTGTGACAAGGACTATGTCACTGAGCTCTCAGGATGTGCTGTGAGGCTGTCTGCATCTACCCACCAGGGTGGCTGAGGATCAAGTGATATGAATAAGTATAAGGCCAACAGCAAACATGGTAGCCTCTGCAATTGGGAAGATCTGGGGTGAGTTTGGACTCTTGCTACTCACTAGCAGTAATTTGTTTTTTATTGAGGGGAAATTCACATAACAGAAAATTAACCATTTTAAAGTGTATAATTCAGTGGCATTTAGTACATTCACATTGTGCAACCATCATATTTGTCTAGTTCCAAAACATTGTCATTGCCCTGTAAGAAAGCCTTGTACCCATTAAGCAATCACTCCCCTACTCGCCCAGCCCCTGGCAACCACAAATCTACTTTCTGTCTTTATGGATTTACCTATTCTGGACATTTCATATTAAAAAAAAACAGCTTACATTATGGGACCTTTTGTGTCTGACTTCGTTCACTTAGCATAATGTTTTTAAGGTACATCCACATTGCAGCATGTATCAGAACTTCATTTCTGTTTGTGGCTGAACAATATTTCATTCTATGGATATACCACAATTTATTTATCCATTCATCTGTTGATGAATATTTAGGTTGTTGATGAAGTCTTTTGATGCACAAAAGTTTTTAATTTTGATGAAGTCCAATATATATCTATTATATATATGTATATATGTATTATATGTATGTATACGTATATATTATATACATATATAATACATATATACATACATATAATAGATATAAACATATATAAATATAAATTTTTTTGTTGTTGAAAATATACACGGCAAAACATATACCAATTCAACAGTTTCTACATGTACAATTTAATGAAATTGGTTACATTCTTCGTGTTGCGCAACCATTCTCACCTTCCTTTTCTTCAGGTTATTTGCTTCATCTCCTGTTTTTCTTTTGTCAGTTTGGCCAGTGGTTTATTGATTTTGTTGATCTTTGCAAAGAACCACCTTTTGGTCTTGTTAACTCTTTCAATTATTTTTCTATTTTCTATTTCATTTAATTCTGCTCTGATTTTTATTATTTGCTTTCTTCTGCTGCCCAACGGCTTCTTTTACTGCTCTGTTTCTACTTGTTCAAGTTGTAGGGTTAATGTTTTGATTTTGGCCCTTTCTTCTTTTTGGATGTGTGCATTTATTGTTATAAATTGACCTCTGAGCACTGCCTTAGCTGTGTCCCAAAGGTTCTGGTCTCATTTGATTCTGTGATTTTCTTTATTCCATCCTTAATTTCTTCTATAACCCAGTAGTTTTTGAGCAAGGTGTTATTCAGTTTGCATGTGTTTGATTTTTTTTCCTTGCTTTTTCTGTTATTGATTTCCACTTTTATGGCTTTATGGTCAGAAAAGATGCTTTGTAATATTTCGATGCTGTGGATTTTGTTAAGGCTTGCTTTATGGCCTAATATGTGGTCTATTCTGGAGAATGTTCCATGTGCGTTGGAAAAGAAAGTATACTTGGCTGCCGCTGGGTAGAGTGTTCGGTATATGTCTATGAGATCAAGTTGGTTGATTGTGGCATTTAGATCTTCTGTGTCTTTATTGACCTTCTTTCTGGATGTTCTGTCCTTTACCGAAAGTGGTGTGTTGAAGTCTTCTACTATTGATATGGAGCTGTCTGTCTTTCTTTCCAATGCTGTTAGAGTTTGTTTTATGTATTTTGGAGCCCTGTCATTGGGTGCATAAATATTTATTATGGTTATGTCCTCCTGGTGTATTGACCCTTTAATCGTCATATAG